GAAAAATGAGGCCAAGTGAAGTTCACTAAATCACCCAAGATCAGGCAGCTGGTGGAAGAGGCAGGATTTGAAGCCAGCTACTTTGCTCTGTGTTCTTAACCACTATCCCATACTGCCAGTAAGCATCCTGTACAAACCAGGAGAGCAGATGATGAGAAGATACTACATCTTTCACTTCCTCTTAGAGTCTACTGCTTACCACAGGTTCACGCCATTTTAAGGGGTTGAGCCTTGCAAGGGTAGTGAGAGGGAAGTAAGTTTGAGGAGTGACTGGAATCAGGTGTGAATACTAAAAAAAAATAACATGACAGCTGGCAGTCTGACAGAGTAGCAAGAAGGTGAAAGGAAAGAGGAATTATTCATTCACTGAGCGGTCAGCTACTCATTGCCAACCACTCTGCACAGTCCTAAACACCCAACGCCTTGTTACTCAGAACAGCACATCAGCATCACCTGGGTGCTTGTGAGACCTGCACAATCAGCACCTGAACAAGATGCCAGATGATCCACATGCAGAACAGCTCTGTTTTATGTGATAGATGCTACTGCTCCTCTTTTGCAGGCCAGGAGCCAATGCTCAAAGCCTCACACGCTGCTGAGTTGCAGGACCACCTGTGAGCCCCAGCCTGTGGTTCAGAGGCCATGTTTATTCCCCAGAGGCACTCAAAACAAGACTTTCAGGACATTTACCCTAGCACAGTTGTGCATCAGTGAGTAATCAGAAAATCCTGGTGGGATCAGGTATATGTAATATGCTGACCTTGCACCATCAAAGAAAGATTCAGTTATGTTCAGGCCACTATTTTTCTTCTTATTACCTATTTAATTTTATTTTTTTAGAGAAAAAAACAGAGAATGAGGGAGGGAGAACAAGTCGGGGGGAGAGAAACACCAATTTGTTGTTCCACTTATTTGTGTATTCATTGGTTGCTTCTTGTATGTGCCCTGACTGGGAATTGAGCCCACAACCTCAGTGTGTTGGGACAATGCTCTAACCAGCTGAGCAACCTGGCCAGGGCCAGGCTGCTATTTTTTTTTTTTTTTTAGATTTTATTTATATATTTTTAGAGAGAAAGGAAGGGAGGGAGAAAGAGAGGGAGAGAAACATCAATGTGTGGTTGTTTCTCACGTGCCCCCTACTGGGGATCTGTCTTGCAACCCAGGCTGTGTCCTGACTGGGAATCAAACCAGCAACCCTTTGGTTCACAGGCTAGCACTCAATCCACTGAGCCATACCAGCCATGTCAGGCTGCTATTCTTTTAAAGAAATGTAGAAATAAATAATACAGTTAAGCAAAACTTCAATTGATTTTAATTTCCATAATTTTCAAAATCTCTTATTTTTACAAAATTGACTGATTTTTCATTCCCTGATGTTGAAGGACCTTGAATTTCAGCCACACTGGGCAGATTTCTTTTCCTGGCACATTTGTTAGCTGATACTAATGATCAGTGTGCCCCAGAGGTAGATGTCCAGATCCTAGAACTGTGGGTTCTTGGGCTAAGAAAGAGATTTGTAGTTGGGATTAGGCTCTAAGAAGTGTCATTTGATGCTAAGGGTCTTGGGCAGAGATGATTCCTAAACTGGTGTGTTTGGGATTCTGGAGTCAGATAGCAATGTCCCTCCCACTCCTCCACCACATATTATAACATCAGGGTAAGACCACAGGGAACCTTGGCCATGAATTGGCGGCCAGTGGGGAGCAGCTGAGGTGGTAGCCTATTCCTCCTCAGCCTCTGTACTGAACAGGCTGTGTTTCTTGCTAGGTACTTGGAACGCAGCGAAGGCCTGTTATAGGGTGTGACAAAGCAGGTTTACACTTATAAGTATGCAAAACAGAGTTTATTCTTATATTATTATTTATTAATTATTGTATTACTTTACAAATGAACAACTGTAAACCTACTTTTGCCTCACCCTGTATATTAGTAGACATCCTTGACATGACTATAAGGGACAGAAACCACTCAGGCTACTGCAAAGAACAGAGTGTGATAAAAGGATGTAGGATAGGAAAAGGAAAGCCTCCAGAACACTGGCATCTGCTTTTTCTTTCTCTTCAGGCTGCATGAGTTATGTCTGTCTGGCCTTCGAAGCACCCTACATCTCTCACGGCGGGGCCTCTCTTCCCTGAGGTTCAGCTCCATCATGCTGACAGTGCTCTCTCCCTTTCCAAATTGGCCCTGTTTCTTCATCACTGGACTTCTGGAAGTCTTCTCCCTTGACCTCATGGCAACTAAAGATATATCCTTTTAGTTTCTGTCCCTATGGCTGTCACTGTCCCTCTATTTTGCAAGGCCAGGTGAAACTTCTCATTGATATAGGTTGACTTTTTGAGCCAGAATCACAACTGCCAACCACCAATAAGGTGGGCTGCCTTGGAGCAGAGGACGACCCCAGGCCAACCAGCCATGGGTGGAGGCATCACTCAGGTGCCCTGGCAGGGGAGGAGATTCCCTCAGGAGGAGGAGGAGGACGGTGAAGCAGGACTGACAGCATAGCAAGGTGCCTTCAGAATTCCAGTGAGTCCTAGAATCTGAAGGGAAAGAGGAGAGGACCTCCCAAGATCACTGGGTGCAGACCTGTGCATACCCATGTGCTCCACTGCCAGGCAAATGCTCCCAGGACTGACAGCATCACCCCCCTTCCCAAAGATCTCTGATGCAAAGGGTGGGGGGAGAATGGAGCAAGTGGCGGGAAAAGCAACTTCCAAAACTTCCTGCCAGCTCAAGTCCGTGTGGAATGCAACTCTGGGAATGCGGGTGCTATAGCATCACACCTACAAGGCGCATCTCTTTCCTGTGCACACTCACTAGATATCGTGGGATGAGGATGGTTTTAGAAAAAAGAAGCTAAACTCCCAATGCTGTCCTGTAATCAAAAGTTTTAGGAGATGTCCTGAATTCATGTGAAAACTTTACAGCACTTTTCATCTTTTTGCATTTTTCTCATCAATGCATGCTAGGTAATGATGATGTAGTAAAACTGAAAAAAAAAAAAAAACCCAGCCCAGATTTTTGGTGTTTAGACAGACTAATGTAGGCACACTGCCACTCAGCACTGCGTCACAGTTGGGCAATGCCCAGTACTTGAAGAGTCAGATCATCCACAGAATTTCGGAAGAATTTCCTGACCACACGCCAAATCACATGATTCATACTTTTGGGATTCCACTTGGCATCAAGAAATCACCCTTTCAGTGGCAGCCTTATTTTATCCAAGAAAAGGTGACCCCAAAGTATTCAGAACTGCTTTGTTGTTTTGATTTTCTAGGAAGACCAAAAAAGCTGCCAGAGGCACCTAGGAGGAAGCCGCACTTGCTTTCAAAACAGAAGTGATACAATTTGAAGGTTGAGTCCATAGAGACACACAAATTATTTTCTGTGAGCAGGTGCAGAGGCGAGGAGGCAGTTACACTTTTTTTAGGAGCCCACGCCTTCCTAAAGCTGGTGACGTGTTCCATTCACGTCACAATGGAGCTGAGAATGGGAACGCCCAATGTACCCTTTTTAACCCAAAATGGGCTGAAAGTTAGTTGAATAATGCTGTTAGCATGGGCAATTTTCACACATCTTTTCATACATCTTTCAAAAGATGTATAAATTTATAGGAAGTTCTTAAATAGCCATTTATAATTCAGCCTGATTTTATTTTATTTGAGAAGAGAAAATGTAGAATAATATAGGAAGAAAATCTTATTCACCAGCCCAGGTTTCAACATCTCAGCACTACTGATATTTTGTGCCACATAATTGCTTGTTGTGGGGCTGTCCTGTGCCCTGTCCCACATTTAGCTGTGTCCCTGACCTTCACCAACGAGATGCCAGTAGTACCTCCCCTCAGTCATGACAACCAAAGTTGTCTCCAGGCACTGCCACATGTCCCCTGGGGGGTGAAACTGCCCCCGGCTGAGAACCACTGTACTGTATGGAGACAAAATTCTAGCCATTTACAGCAAGCCAGTCACCTGGAATTAAATCCGCTGCCCTGGAAACAGGCCGACCGAATCGTCTCTTTGGCACAGTGAGAATTTTAGAACTGAAGAGCAGGCAGCACTGCTTGCCCTTTTTTTGATCAGGGGTCAGAAGACCAACAGCAGGAATGCTACCCAGGACATCTTGTGTGCTCACGTCCTCAGCGAGCTGATTTCTAACTTCCTCAATAAGCAAGGCACGATCATCTGAGACCACAGTTCCTCATCATTCCAGAAAGTGATTCATTCATGTTTAGAAAGAGGCATGTTTTGAACTCTTGGAGTTTGTTTTGTGCTACACAAACGTCCTCAAAAATAATCAAGACATTCGCACGTCATGTCAATCGGTTCCTTTCCTGTTTGACCTTCCCCAGATGTACTCCGGAAAGCATCCAGGAGAGCCAAGGGACCCTCTAGGGCCCAAGAGCCCAGCACTTTTGGAAAGCCCGGTCAGCCTGTGGCCAAGAATGTTGTTCTATCCAAGGTGTCCCTGAGCACACCGCCCACAGTCAGCCCTGGCAGTCACGTTCCTTTCCTGGTTAGCTGAATACTGACCACTGCGAGCACTGACAACGGCCACACAGATGCTAGGGCCCCTGCGCTCCCCATGCAGAGGGAGCTGCCTGTCTTCACACACACCATTTCCCAAGGGGCAGAGGCAAAGAGCCATTTGGCAAAGCGTCCCTCTGTGCAATGCTCTGCTCCAGAGAGATACCCAGCTTCTGTGGGAACCTGGCTTTCAGAAGCAAATGTAAGATGTGAAAGAAGGTGTAATGTGTCACTTCCAACATGCACAGAGTGAAGGGCTTTGTGGGGCAGCCACCGTGCGGACGAGCAGGTACAGCCTTGATGAGACAGACACCCAGATGCTGAGCAACCAGATCCGTGCACACTCTTGTTTACTTCTAAGCAGATTCTATTAGGCCCAGAGCACTTGGCTTGATTACTCCCTGGATCAAATCTAAATTAAATTACCCAACAAGCATCTTTTCAGGGAGACAGAGGGGGGAGCACAGACTGACTTACCTTCCAGAAGCTATCCACTTTGCCATACACCAGGGACTGGTTCTGTCTCTTGATTTCGTTAATGTGGTGGATGTCGCTGGAGTTCAGGTGCTGCTCCACCACAAACCCCAGGAAGCTGTTGTCTGGGGTATGAGCTGATGTGAAAGGAAAGGGCAGGGCAGTTAGGATTTCACCAGCGGGAAGAAACAACAATTACCAAATTTAACAAGCCATCTCGCACATAACCAAATGTTTTCATTTTACCCTGTTCTTTCCTACCTGGGAGGGGCGAAGAATTGCCTGCCCCCACATATCCCAGCAAAACATTCTCACAAGAATAATTCTCTTCGGATGGATTAACCTGAACCAAATACTGGTTTTGTTAGTGGAAAATACATTTGTCTAAAAAGCATTCAGCCGTGTGCTCTCCTCCTTCCTGTTTCCTCAGAACAAGGCCACTGTCTCCTGATAGAAACACTCTCATCTGGGTTTTATCCACTAATAACCAGAACTCTGCAGGGAGCAGGGCTGAATCAAGGGTTCTCACTAGGGTTGGGGGTGCTGTCGGTGGGCCCCACACAATCTATTCAGGCTCCAGCTGGGTTCGCCATCCAGCTGGGTAAAAAGGGATTTGGGGGCAAAACCCAGCAACGTCACCCCCAATCCTCTAAGAATTACTAATGAAAGATGTAATTATGGGGCCATATTTTGAACCAATAATGAAATAAAGGAAAAAAAGGTAAAGCTCACTGTAAGGTGGTTGGCTCACTCTGAAAAGCCAACGACCCACAGTGACTAGTGTCTGGTTCACAGAACAGACTTTTCTGGAAGAGAAAAGGCTTTTTCCTCTGGATCTGTCATAATTTAAGTTGTAAAACTTCACTATTTTAACACTTGACCCAGGCAGAAAGCAGCCCCAAACCCTCATCAAACATTTGCCTCTTATGCCTATAATTTTTTAAAAAATTTCACCAGAAGGCAACAATCAGAAAACAATTCTCTTGAAAAAAAGGCACTCTTCTCCTGTACACTCATTCTGTCCAGAGAAATCTGTTTTTCAAGGAGGTGGTGCTGCAGCGGTTTACAATATTAAATGAAGCAACGGCTCTGCTTGACTCAAACCTGAACAGAACAAGTATAAATAACCTAAATGGAGAGATACTCGACATTGAGTAAAATACACATAGTACATCTTCACTCCACACAGCCATGTTCATTACAGGTGGGTGGTCAACAAACAGAGGAAGCTGGTTTCTTTGTCTGGTTCTGTTTTTCTTAGGATTCAGGAGCCCTTTCCAGGCAGGACGCCAGCACAACAGCCCTCACAACGAAGGCCCAGGGTCCTGGAGACCAGGCCCCTCTCCCCAACGCCGTGAGTGAAGGTGGAGGAGGGAGCACTGGCCGAAAGCCCGACTGATCACCACCCAGATCCCAGGATTGTGCCCGATGGGGGTGACAGCACAAGGAGATAATAGGGCTGAGACTGGGGAGTTGTGTTAGGTCTGGCCAATCTGTTATTGCATTTCTGTGTTTTTGAACAAGTGCCCAGAGGCAATGGCACTGGCTGCAGTTGGCTGGAAAGTAAATTACTGAATAAGTGCTACTGCCAACAAGAGGCAATCCTTGCCTTTCTTTTCTTTGTTTTTTGTTTGTTTGTTTGTTTGTTTTTTTAGGAGCTGGGTCAGGGGGATTTGAAGGGATATAGGGTATGGAAGAGGCTCTATGAGTATTCAGAATGTGAAGAATACAACTTTAAATATTTCTTTGTTAAACTTTTTATTGTAAAAATTCTGAAATAGGATCTGACGTTTTTATTGTCAGTAAAGTTATGTGGTGACCAAAGCTTCTTGCTTTGGAATGTCTCTGCAGTTCAGTACTCTAGTCCTTATGTGGGCACTTTTATAAAAAAAAAGAAATAATCTAGCATCTAAAACACTTGATAGGCTTTATTTTATGTTAAAACACACTCAGATGTAGTCAAAAATAAAATGACCATCAAACCCCCAAAAGAAAAAAAGACATATATCTTTACATTTTTGGGTCAAAGATCTCCCTAGTGTATGGTGTGAGTAGTAAGAAGGAGGGGAAGTACGTAATTTATTCAAAAACTTGTGAGAAATGGCAGGCCTCTTTTCTCTTATCTGGAAATGTTAACCTGAGGATTGACAGTGAGCAAGTGCAGTTTAAGGACCTCAGACAAGACTTAAGGAGAAGTGCCAGCAGTGCTTACAAATGGCACCACCGCATTTCATGAGCAATGGTCAGACCCTGTATGTTCCTTCCCAGGTAACATGGAACCCTCATAGGACACTGGAGGGCTACAGCATGAGGGGCTGCTCAGCTGTGGCTTCTGCCGCAGGTGATCTGGAAATAAAGGCAGGCCAGCAGCCAGGTACTGCATGGTGATATCCTAAAACTGCTTATGATCAATCAAAAGCCTCAAGGTCAGACTGATGGTATCTGAAATGACCTTTCGAGGAGATCTAAACTTAACCAAGGTTTGTCTTTTTGGTCTGCCTTCAAATGGTGACGCAGACTTTAGCTATATTGAGAGGGTTTCTAAGAGAAGGTATTTACATATTTCAAGGTAAATTTAAGAAGTCCCATTATAAATGGGACACAGGAAATCCTGTACTTTTTGGAAATCACTCCATCCCAGAAGAGAAACAAGTCTGGATTTAAAAAATGGCTGATATTTGAGTTCTGACTACAAGCTGACCTCTGTGCTAAGTATTCTATAGTAACTATTTCATTGTATCTTCATGGCACCCTGATAATATGTTTGTACAGGTGAGAACACAGAGAGAGAGTTACAGTACCCACCCTAGTCCACACACTGCAATGTTGGGACTCAGAGCCAGGCCAGTGGTTCCAGAGCCCATGCTCCTTAAAGCACTTCTAATACATAGCCTCATAGTCCAAGTAACTTATTTTCTGGGCTCTTGAACCATAGTGGTAAACACGCTTCAGAGGAAAATAATGTTACAAGAAAGATCCAGGGAAAAATACAGGGTATAGCACAAATAATGCCTCCTTTTTATTACAAAATCGTTTATTACAAAATCATAAGCATGTAATTCTGTAATGTACCAATATCACACTCAAGCACGCCATATGGCATTTTAGGTGAAATGTTCAAATGAAAACTATAAATTATCACATCATATTATTACCCACCAACCACACTCATGCAGGAGATACTTCTGCTGGACCCTGTATCTAATCTGTCACCTCAGTTTCTTGAGCAACTTATGCTCTTTGTATGTAGGACCAAGCTGATTTTCTGACTTGTATAAATTAGGAGGGATTTGCTAAACATTAACAATGATCTTAAAATAACTTGGAGCAAACTTTTTTCTTTTTAAGAAAAGCATTATTTTAAGTACTTTGGGAGTGCCTCTTTACAAATACACGTGTATGACAAGTTAGTTTGATGAGTTTCCTGAGATTGTGGTGATGACTTCTTCTAAGAACTAATATTAGTTTGGCTTCAATAATTCATTCAGTGACAAACATTTTAAAGCATTATTTTACAAACCAGATTATATTCTAGGTATTGAGAGATTTCAAACATAAAGATGATTTTCTGCCCTCACAGAGCTTACCAACTATTTAATAAATGAGGTACACACTATATCTACCAAGCAGTAATAACATCCTTTTTTAAAATGTAAATCAATAATTTTACTAAGTCAAATGGACTCTTCCTTCATTGCATAAATCTCCACGGTCAGTTTTTCCACCATTAAGTCCTCAAAATCTCTAAGAAGTGCAAATATTCATTTTAACATGTTGTCTGCTGGCCTGTCCTCAGGTGGCTCTAGGATTGGGTACCACCTGCTGCCAGGTCTCCAAAGGCAGAACCTGCACAGCCAACCTGGGCTCTCCCTTAGCCAGTCAAACACCAAGCCCCAAGGATGTCAGCTTCTCGAAAATCTTTCAACTCCTTTCCTCTCTTCACTTTTCTCAGCTCTGGCCTCATTGATTCTTACCAAGACTTCTGCAATACATAAGTTTTCCTTTTTCCTAAATAGAAACAGCGTTGGTATTTCTTCCCCTTGATTATAACAGAAATATACCTTCAGTGCAAAACTTTTTTCAGAGAATAGAGAAAGATACAGGGAACATAAAGATGACATCTCACTTCTGGCCAAGATGGAGGTGTCGGTAGGTACACTTTGCCTCCTCACACAACCAAAAGGAGGACAAGTTTAAAAACAAAAAATAACCAGAAGTGCCAGAAAATGGATCTGTATGGAAGTCTGACAACCAAGGAGTTAAAGAAGAAATATTCGTTCAGACTGGTAAGAGGGGCGGAGATCGGCAGGTGGATTGGAAAGGATGAGAAGCAAGACAGTGGCTGGAGGACTGGGTGGGCAAGGTGGCAGCTGGCAGACCAGGGAGGGCAAGGTGGCAGGTGGTAGACAGGTGGTCCCACATTTGCATGCGAATAAACTGGGAGGAACTACTGGGGAGTGACACAGACCATGCAACCCAGGGTTCCAGCATGAGGAAATAAAGCCTCAAAAACCTCTGGCTGTAAAAACCCATGGGGGTTGCGGTGGTGGCAGAAACTCCCAGCCTCAAAGGAGAGTTCATTAGAAACACCCACAGGGTGCTAGAATATACAGAAACCCACCCACATGGGAATCAGCACTAGAAGGATTCAATTTGTTTGTGGGTAGCAGGGGTAGTGACTGAAAGCCAGCTGAGAGCTGAGCAAGTGGCATTATTCCCTCTTGGACCTCTCCCTCACATACACAGCCACAAAGCAGGGATGTGGGTTGCCCTACCCTGGTGAATACCTAAGGCTCTGCCTCTTACTACATAACAGGCCTGCTGAGATAAAAAAAAATATGGCCCAAATGAAAGAACCGATCAAAATTCCAGAAAAAGAACTAAGTGACGAAGAGATAGCCAACCTCTCAGATGCAGTGTTCAAAACACTGGTAATTAGGATGCTCACAGAAATAGTTAAATATGGTTGCAAAATAGAGGAAAAAGTAAACACTATACAAAGTGCAACAAAAATATACAGGGAACCAACAGTGAAGGGAAGAAAACCGGCACTCAAATCAATGATTTGCACTAGAAGGAAGGAATAAACATTCAATCAGAACAGAATGAAGAAATAAGAATTAAAAAAAAATGAGGA